TTAATGAATAAAAAATAAACACCAACAGAGCAATGATTTGTATAATTTCCTGAGAAAAGGTATTTTTGAGGATTTTTTTTCACAGCCAGATCTAATAAGCTCAAAATTAGACAAGGTCCTCATTCAGCCTTTGGCATTTCTGAATATAAAACACCAGGAGAACACCCTGTCTGCCTGAACTCCAGCTTCCCAGAGTCATTTTACTCACTACATTATAACCAAATTCCTGAATCCGAATAATTCGGCCTGATAATCAATTTACACACTTTTCCTTCTCGCAGCACGTGGAAAGACCCTCCTCGATCCAAACCCCAGGAATTCTGCAGCCTGCCTGATGCTGAAATACTTCCATGCCCCTTTTGCCAGGCAAATACCTTCTGTATCCACGGGATCATCCCACTGGGAGTCAGTCACCTGCCTCCAAGTCATAATTGCTCTGCACCCCAGCTAGGGAGATGAAAGCAGAGGCACACAAAAGCAGAGGGTTGACTGATATGAAGTAATTGCAGGCACGATTTGATGACAGCAATTTATGTGATTCTATTAAAGGCACTTGTAGGGGAAGACAATTAAAAGGCAGATGAACCGCTCGGAGTTTAAACAGAAATTTTATATACTTGTAAGTAGTTCCTATAAAAGGGTAAAAGATATGATGAATTTTAATTATAACTGAGTTTATTCCTCCCCTCGATTCCTGTCATTTTTAGCATACACAGAAGATATTTAGCTATTTATATCCATTTTAAAATATATTTACATAAAATGAGGCGAGGGGAGCCCCTGCCAAAGCTTACTCAGAGACACACACACCGACGGAGGAGCAGACGGGATATTTTAGGTCCTCATCCGAAGCGCTTCCCGATGTTCAGCTCTGAATTTCCCGAGCGTTCCAGCCGAGCCGAGGCCCGGCACGAGGAGCAGCTCCCGCTGTGCATCTGCAGCACCCCCGGGGGGAGAGCCCCACTCTTAATGCCTGGGCACTGCTGCCCCCCCCCGTCAATGGGAATATTGTGGATTCACAGGGAATCGCGCGACGCCGGAGAAGGGGCCGAGCGGGGGTCACGTAGGCACGAAGCTGGGCAGTGCACAGGTTGGAACGACACCATTTATGTGGAATTTTCTCCCTTTTTTTTTTGTAACCCAAACGTGCCAAGTGATAACCAGGAGAAGAAGGGGAGTTTTGAGGAAGCAGCTCCCTCAGAACTGGGGCTCATGGTCTGCGCTGTGGGGATTTGCTGGGTCAGATCAAGGGGTTTTATTTTACCATTTCCCCCAAAATCAGGGCTTCAATGTCTGAACACCCAACTCTATTCCCAGATCTTAGTGTGTATAAAATTCTACCTTTGCTAAGCAGGTAAATCCTAATTCATTTCACAAATGGTTCAACTCTGGGTTGCCTCAAGTGAAGTTTGCTCAGTAAAGCAAACTTCTTTTCTCCTCCTGAGAACAAAAAACCATGAGAAAGCCTTTTGCCTTTCTGCCACCTGAATATCAGATCTAAAATCCAGTTATGCCACGGTAGAAGCTGTTTAAAATGTCTTTTATCTGGGAAAAAACCCAAGAAAATAATTTCATTTATTTTCAGAACCCAACAAAATCATGAGTTTATTTTATATGCAAAATTCAATATTTAAGGAGTTTACAACGATGAAGGATGTGCTGCCTGCAGATCTCCATCCCTACTGTGGAAACCATCAGAATTTCCACAGTAAATTCACAAAAACTCTGCCAGAGACAACAAAGTCCTGTGGACACACAACAGGCCAAATCCTGGGAGTGACGGAAAACGATGATTATTTCTGGGAACATATGGTGACTGAGGGATAAGAACCACGCTCCTCTCTCAGTAGGTCACACCACACAACAAAGAACACACTCAGGGGGAAAATGGGCACCTAAGGTCTACCCCAGGCATTGTAACATGGAAAACCATGAGGAATTATCCCCCTTATAACAGAAAGAAGACTTTCTGATGAGTCCTGTTATTCAAACTAACCCATCCTCCGACAAAAAAATCACAGAATCCAAACTAATTTGAAAAATAAATTACATAAACACGAGTTATATTTGGACTTTCATCCTGCCTCACCAATTACATCACAAGAAGGTATTGCCTAACGTAAAAATCTATCCAGAGTGCCAAAGAACCAGCAGAAATTCCACCTTCCCACCGACTCTGTGCTGCTGTCACTCAGTAAATCTCTCCCCACCCGGGGCAGACGCCCGTCAGCAACCCAGGACACGCCACCTTTTATACCCTGGGACCACGTCAGCCGCCCCAGGATTAAAATAACAGTTTGTTTTTCAAGGCAAATGAGCCCATTTTGACTAAATGGGCCTCGCTGAGCCCCATGGGACCGAACCACCGAGACACCTCCACGCTCCCCTGCGGGGTTGGCTCGGCCCAAGCGCGGCCGTTGCGTCACTTGACCCCAGCGACTCGCCCTGCCCGTCCCATCACATCAGTTTGACAGGCACAAGGTGCAACCTGGGGGCCAGGAAAAGGAAGGGGGGGAGGTTGGAACTTACTGCCCCCAGGTCCAAGAGTGGTTGAACGACACGTCGAAGGACGGGCAGCGAGTATTTTAAACTCGTTCATCGCCCATCGATCCGGTTTCTAACTGGGTAAATCATGAGATGCAGGCTCGGGTTCCTGTGCAAAACCCCACCCCTACTCATCAGCAGAACTGAAAGAAAATAATTTATTCTATTTCCAAACTCCATGGTAACTTAAACTTCGCCTTTTACACCGGAGAATCAGAGGAAATCAGACTCACGATCAGACACGCCGATGCCAAATAATTGAACCGGCGGATCGCTGACGCATAAATAAAGTTTTAGATTTACAGCGAACAAATCTTCCACTGTAACGCAGCCAGCATGGCTTTTCAAATGTTTTTATGTCAGCACTGGCCTAAAAAAACTCCAGTGGAAACTGGAAGGGTCGGATTCCCTCTCTGCTGGCACCTCTCGGGTCTGTCCGCAGGCAGCAGGGTTAGACCCGAGGGCAAGCCCGATTAAAAGCCTGGCCTGGCTGTTTGCATAACCAATCACTGGAGTGTTGGGAATTATTTTAGCTGAGCAGTGCTAATGAGCTAAATCACTGTGCCCATTTTGGTGGTCACCACCCCCCCCAGGAGTGTTTCACCCGTGGTTTGTTTTTACCTTGTTCCACGGCCGAGCAAACGCAGATCCCGTGGGGGAACCTCGTCCTGACACCTCCTGACACCGAAAGCTCGTCCCCAACCACAACCAGAGCAGGAATATCGAAGTTTCCATTCCACCTGTCCTTCCCTGAGCGCTCATTACACACAGAGACTGGCACTGTTGTGTTTCCACACCGGGAAACCAAACTCACAGGTCTGCGATCCGGGTGGGGATGCAGAGCCAGCCTGACCTCCTGACACCGAGCTTTGAGCCATCCAGATCCCGCTATCTCGGTGCAAAACAGCATTTCCACGGCAATAAAAGCAGGAAAAAAATTCACCAGAGGTTGTTCTGAAGGTATGTTAATGGCAACACTGGGGATTTCCACCCAGTTCACACTGGGATCTGTGCTATTTACAATAATTTCCACTGAACAAAATCTCTGATGCAACATAATAATTTTTTTTTTTTCTATAGAAAATACATGTATTTTGCCAGTTCTGCCCACTGGAAGTTGACAATTCGTGATAAGCATCAGCCCTGTGTCTGGTGTGGCCTGACAGTGAATCTTAAAGTGAAAAAAAAAAAATTAATCACAGCCTTTCTGGGCAGCCTGGGCTTCTGATGCTGGAAAAATCAACTGACACTCACCTTACAACGTACTGTATTACACACAAGGGATATTCCTGCAGGTACTCCCACAGTTTTTGGGCAGGTTTCCATATTTATTGCCACAGAAAAATTTACAAAATTTAACAGAAATCATGTGGGCTCATGACAAATTGTACAGTTTACTGTACTGGCAAGGGATGGAACGGAGTGTTTAGCTAGAGAATGTAATTATAATTAATAAATGGTTAATATTTACTCAAAAAAAATATTTTAGCCAGAAAGAGCACACACACCGGCTACAACTGGAAACACAACTATTTATCCATGAAATTAATTTAATTTTTAATTTAATTCAGTCCAGGCTAGGCTGGATGAGGCTTCGAGCAACATGATCTAGTGGAAGGTTTCCCTGCCCGCGGCAGGGGGATGGAATGAAATGAGCCTTAAGGTCCCTTCCAACCCAAACCATTCCGTGATTTTTTACAGCGATATTTTTTCATTAACAGGGAAGCTCGGCAAGCCCTCCTGCAGCGGTGGCATTTCTCTTTTTACAAAAACTCACAACACGTCCGATTATTTCATTTGCTTTTCCTCGGAAAACAATTTGTAAAGAACTACGCTTCCACGAGCAGGCTCTCAACAATCAAAATAAATGAAAATAAGAATCACACCCAGAGTCTGCTGCCAGAGCCCAGAGCCCCGCTGGGGAGCGGGGCAGGACCAGCCCTGGGAGCGCCTCCATCACCCCCTCCAGCGCTGAAAGCACCGGGAGAAGCCGCTCCTGTGGCTGGGACCCCCCAAACCGGTGACTTTTGGGGAGAGGAGAGGGACATTTGGAGGGGAAGGAGCGCTCCGACCCCCGGGGGGTTCTGCTGGAACCCCCTGAAAGCCCCCAAACCCGCTCGCAAAAACGCGGGGCCGGTTCTGCTCCGAGAATGGAGAGATGGTCCCCAAATCCAGCTGGAATCACCCGCCCGGGGGCTGAACGAGCTTGAAAAAGGGCATTTTTTTTTTCCCCCTTTAACTCGACACAGACACGGTTTGTTTTCCTAAGCACGTGTCAAGCCGAGTGACTTCCCGAGTAAAAAAAAGTGGCTTTTTTTTCGCTGTAACAATAGAGAAAACAACAGAGAAAAAACAATGGACAAACAATAGAGAAGCAATGGAGAAAACAATAGAGAAAAATAGAGAAAACAATAAAGAAAAGGGTTAGAAGGGAGGCTTAGAAAGGGTTTATGTACCTTTGCAGCACGTATTTTCCAGCCGGTCGACGTTCAGGGAGTTTCCATCGCGCCCTCGGCGGCCGGGGGACCGCGGGAGCCAGGAATGCGGGATTCGGGGATGCGGGACCCAGGGATGCGGGAGCCGGGGCTGCAGGTTGGGCTCGGTTCCCTCCCGGGGCCGGCTCATGGAGCGCTCTCCTGTGCCGGGGAAGGGAAGATTAGGATCTCCGGCGGGCAGGGATTGTGCTGAGCTCTAGCTTTTCACTTCATGCTTCATTAAAAATTAGATGCCGCATTATTTCAGGCGTTTATATACACATCAAACAATTAGGTTGTTATCCTGCTCTCTTACACAAGCCGTCTTTGTTCCGGGGCGGGAGGGGAGGAAGGAAAAAAAATAAGCACGAATTCAAATTAGCAGCCAAAAGGGAGAGGAATCGCGTCCCGAGCAGCGGAGAGCAGCGACCCAAACACCTCAAAGGCGAAACACAAGCTCTCCTGGCTCCGGGGTTACCTTATTCCCAGCAGCTTTCCCGCTCGGCGGGGCTGATGCCGCTCTTCCCGAGGGTCACCAAGCGAGCGAGTTCCAACTCCCCGCTCCAGCTGGGAGCGTCCTTCCAGCGGTGAATCACTCCGGGTTCTCCCGGCGTGATGTTACGGAACGCTTTACCCAAGCACAAACTCCGCATGTGAGCGAGGCTGCAGGTTTTTCATCTCCTGCCAGTTTTCCAGCCGGGTTTCGTTATCGTGAAAAGGCCGTAATTAGGTTTATCACAGCGCTGCGTCTCGGCAGACTGAGCACAAATGCCTCGGTGTATTTAGAGAACATGACATCACATTTTAGCTCACTTAAGTGGCTTTTAGATAACAAGCAATACCCCCCTCCCCAACCCCCGCCCCAGTCCCTGCGACGGCCGAGATGAGATAAAATGTTGAAGAAGAGCCGTCTGTTCGCGCGTTCCGAAGTTCAACAGCGCAATTTAAATCATTTCGGCTCATTAATTAGTCATGCAGAAAGTATTCAAAACAGTCTAAGCAACAATTCATTTAAAAAAAAAAAAAAAAAAGGAAGCATTACTATTAAATCAGCTTCGGCTGCCAGTTGGAAGCTGCTGCTAAAGGCAGGAATGCTCCTGGGAGAAGCTGCACAACCCGTCTCCCATTCCCACTGCTCTCCCGGCACACAAATCAGGGGCAGGGGCTCGGGCAGGTCTTTCCTGCTCCTGCTTCCTCCTTGCAGCGTTCATGGGAACAGCGTCTGTAAAACACAGGCTCGCTCAGACACCTCTCTGACACGGCCAAAGGTGGGTTTGTCCCCCTGGGTTTTGAGCAGTGCCACGTGCACGCTCCTATGTGTAATTTAACTTTCTACGAGTTGCTCTGTTGATACAACCACTCTTACCGTGAGGGTTGCAAAGTCAGAATTCTTGAATTAATTGCCTTTTTTTTTTTTTTTTTTCACCTCTTGGAGAAGTCCATGTTTTTCTCTTAGGGCTCCTGAAGTTTAAATATTAATTTTAAAGATTCCTTAGGGGTTTGCATGAAAAATACTGTGTAATTGAGCACTAACTCAGGGTGGAGGGCAGACCTCCTTCTGCATCCCAAAAGTCAGACAAAGGCTGGAAGAGGCACTTGGAAAGTGAGTGGGAAAGAGGGAAATGGTCTAGAAGAGCAACGGATAAAGAGGCTTGGGGAAACCTTTAAGGCACTGAGGAACAAACCCTGGCATGGGCAGGACACGATCCCTGTCCTTGTCCTGCTCCAGGACCAGAGCTGAGGGTGCTGCTGGACCAGGAGCTGCTGGGGCAGGAGATCTGAAAGGCAGGTCCCAGCTCTGGGTGTAAGAACTTAGTCAGGGCTGGGTGTGGAGGACAAGAACTCCGTGCTGAGCAGGCAGCACTGGGATGGAGAGAGCAGGAGCTGGGAATTCCGTGCAAGGAGGAAGCTATGGCAGCCCCAGGCAGAGATAGGGAGTTGCTTGGGCCAGGAATGATGGAATCACAGAATGGGTTAGGATGGAAGGGAAATTAAGGATCAATTTGTTCCACCCCCTGGGACACCTTCCACTAGCCCAGGTTGCTCCAACCTGGCCTTGGACACTGCCAGGGATCCAGGGGCAGCCACAGCTTCTCTGCCCAACCTGTGCCAGGGCCTGCCCACCCTCCCAGCCAGCAATTCCTTCCCAATATCTAATCTAAATCTCTCCTCTTTTAGTTTAAGGAGGGGCATCTCCCTGGCTTGCTTTGGGTGGCCACGGTGCTGCTCTGTGGATGGAGGTGGTAGCCAGCATTACCCCAAAAATTAATGAGTAGAGAAAGAAATCTCCTTTTCAGGGCAGAAAAGGTGGTTACAAGAGTGGCACAGACACTGAGCATTGCCAACAGAGGGTGGACAGCCTGGGACAGAGCTCCTGACTCCGCTCAAATCATCCCTCAGACCAAAAAAACCTCAACCGACACACAGGATTTAATTACACATACCTAATTATTTCCATGTTTATCTCCACAAATGCCATTAATAGGAAGAGAATGACCTGTCTGGTGCTTTCAGTGCTGGTGAGTCATCCCAATGAATCAATGAGAACAAAACCAGGAGCTTAGAGAAGAGAAAAGGAGCAGCAGGGCTGGGAGACGACACCAGGAAGATGAAAAGTTTGACAGGACAGGCAAGAAATCCCAACACAGCTTGGGGATTAGAAGGGCTGTAAGTCTTGGGAAGGCTACAAAAGCCCTGTGTTCCTGTAGGGAGATTATGAGGTCAAAACGCCTGATTTTCAGGGGTTTAGATGAATCAATTCATTCCAGCTCTCTCCTTTAGTACCCAGAGGAGGGAGCACCTCCCTGCCTGTGTGTGCACGCACAGGGGTTATTTCAAAACCCTTTGTTGTGTAAAAAAACCCATTGTTAAAACAACTCATAAAATTATGTCAGCTACTGAAACAAATTGTAAAGCGTTCCAGGAGCCCCGTACGGGGCGGAGGATTAACGAAATAATTCATGTCAGCCATAAAAAAAGCTGTGTAATTTACTGTGAAAGGCACTGCTTTCCCCTCCCGAGGAGGATCCAGGCACCACGTGCATCCCTTTGCTGGGAGCCTGAGCCCTGACATGTGATCTTGGAGGCAGCTCCTGAGCACCAATTAAACCACAACAGCCCAGTGTGTCCCAGCCAAGCCAAACTGGGGAATTCCGAAGCACCAAAGGCCAGCTATTAATAGCTATTATTAATCCATTGATTTAAAATGTTACATGAAAGAATTAATGTTCACAGAGGGCAGCACCAGCTCTGTTGTGAGCAGATCCTTATGGTGAATGAGTGACTGGCATCTGTTCCTTCAGGGATTTTGGGGGGGGGGCCATAAATGCTGGGACTCTGCCTTTGGGCACAATATAAAAATAGATTTAGATCGTCACATGTCTTCAGACACTTCCTAATTGGCCAGACATGAAACCCATTAGTATTTAACAGTACCTCCAGTGCCAGCATTCAATGGCTTTTATTCATTTCTTGCTTTTATTCATCTCTTGCTTTGGCAGTGGTTGATGAACCATCAGTTCGTGGCTGGGGGAGATGAAAGCTCAGCACTGCTAGAAAGGATTCCTCAAATTCCCCATAAACACTGGGAAAAGAGCTAAGCTGGGACTGTTATTTCACTCTCTGTGTTCATCATGACCCAGACTAGTCCAGGCACAAGGCTGGGCTTGGCATCTGTGCCTCAGAACAGGAACTCTCCTATTAACCCTCACTATTTATAGTCCTGCACGGCATCAAATACAACATCTGTCTAAATTAGATGTTCTTGTCTCCTCTTTTGAGAGCCTTCTGCCACTTTTGGTCACGTATTTATCTCTCTGTGGAAGCTTTGCCAGGAGCACCCAGCACGTGGGTGCTTCTGAAAGAGCAGCTCAGGGATTGCAGGTGGGTCCCATGAAGGGACACCGCGAATTTTCTGTAACCTCCTGGATTAAACCGAGATTTTGGAAGACAAAACCTAAACCACTGACCTTTGGCCTCGTGGAATGGGGGCTGGATGCTGGAGTAGCAAAAGAAAAGAAGGATTTGGGGGTGTTGGTGGAGGAGAAGCTCCACGTGACCCAGTCAGCAAGAACGAGCTCAAAGATCAACGTCATTAGAATTTCCACCAAAGAAACTCGACCAAAAAGCTCCAAAATTCTTCCAAATCGACTCATCTGGTGGAAGATTCAACGACAGCACACCTTGGAGACAAATCCCAAGCTATCAGAGGTTTGTAGTCCTCTTGCAAATGTAAGGTTTGGGTTCCTGCATGCCCGAACAGTCCTTGGTTTCACATGGAATTAGTGACATAATTAACAGCATTTAATAACGTTCAGCAGATGCTCAGAGCTGGAAGACTGAATGAGGAGTCTACATTAAAACTGAATTTTCCAGTCCTACAGGGGGAATGGAAGTAAAAAATCTGTGGTGTTGCTGGTCTCCAGCAATTGGAAACTGCTTTCCCAGTAGTAAAACTGGAAACATATCATTAAATCACAGCACTTTAGGAAGAACAGGAGATACTGGGAATTCCTGTATCCTTCATTTGACTTCAAACTTCCTGGATTAAGTATCACTTAAGGAGAGTGAAAAATCTAACCAATGAAAAGTTTTAATTCTGTCCAGTTTAACACCCCAACCACCAAAGTGATCTCCAAAATAAAAGGATTTCATATCAGTTCAGCACTCCTTAATTTTCAATACCTCTCAGACATAATTCCTTTTGGACATCCCTTTGAGAGGGACTGGCTTAATAGGAAAAAAATACAACATATTTCTAGTTTAATTTAAAAAAATAATACATCAAATTAACAAGAAAGTATTACAGGAAATAATGGAATTAGAAAGATGGGCAGGTGAAGGAAAAATGGAGGGGGGAAAAGCAGGAATGTCTCGAAGCCATGGAGCAATTCCAGGTTTCCCAAAGAGGCTGCCACATCCCTGGAAGGGTTCAAGGCCAGGTTGGGTGGTTGGAGGTACTGAAGGGGGCGTGGTGTGTTTGAACAACACACCCCACAATTGATAAACTCCACTTCCAGCCCAGCAAACAACTTACTGTGTGGGTGTTCTTCCTCTGTGCCAGGGAGGGAATTCCAGAGGCAGGCCCCGAGCAGCAGCTCCAGCTGGGAGGGTTTTTTGCTGGATGAAGGGGCACTTCTAAACCATCAGCCCCAAAAAGCACAGACCCTTGAGAGAAAGCATAAAAATAGAGAGTTAGTGGAGCAATTTTTGGGTTGCAAAGAGCAGGCAGACAAGTGACAGGCATTAAAGAGACCCTGAGTGCCTCTTATTAAGTGGGAGTAGCACCAGGGCTTTGTTTAGCAGAGTGAAAACTAATTATGAGACTAATGAGGGGTTTGGTTGGAGGCTTTGTGGGGTTTCATTGCAGTCTGGGGGCAAGTTGGGAAGAACCCCAGAGCTCTGAGCTCCAGCCACTCCTCATAAAATTGGAAACATGGGAAAACTCCTGAGGATTTTTTTTTTAAATACAACTTTAGAGGATTTCTTGCTTTTTTTTTGCTCTTCCCACCTAGAATTGAAATATTACAGCACTGAAATTCATTTAGTGTCAACAGCAGCTGTGGCTGCCCCTGGAGCCCTGGAAGTGTCCAAGGCCAGGTTGGAGCAACTTGGGATAGTGGAAGGTGGTGGAACAAAATGATCCTCAATTTCCCTTCCAACCCAAACCATTCTATGACTCTACAAGAAAAATAAAATAAATCTAATTTTCCCCATAATTAAATTCTATCAACATATTAATATTTTTTAATTATCAAATTAAAAAAAAATAAACAGACAAATGGGGGAAAGCCATTTGGGAACTTCTTTGCACGTCTTTACAATTCAGATGCTAATGGTCCAAAATGACATCTGTGTTCCTCCTACATTCTTAAAAAATAAAATAAACTCCCCCTGTCTGATTATGTCAGCTTGCTTTGAGAGCCCACAGCAGATTTATTATTTCCTGCAATATCATTCCCATCAAGTGCAGCACGCCAAGAGGAGCTGCTTTGGGAAGAAGCCAAGAGGATGGAGACAACGTGTGATACTCCAAGCACAGACTATTTCTGGGCTAGGAGAGAAAATCCTTTTGTAATTTTGGAAGTCTGCAGTTGGTGCAAATTAATGAGACAGTTTGGGAACCTCAGAGGTCTCATTATGAGGTGCCACTCCAAGATCACATCTTTGTTTTCTTAATTTTCTTCTAAGCTGCTCCCAAGCTGCCTAAAAGGAATCTTTATGAGAGAAACTTTGGGAATTTGAATGGAACAGGACAGCTGGACAGAGTGGATCCAGTGCTGAGCTGGTGAGTGATCCTAAAAGTCACTCAGAAGAGAGAGGGACAGAGCTATAAAAGCCCAGCTATATTTTCCTCCCACTCTGGAGCATCTTTTTGGGCTGAGGAGAGAGTTCCTGGCTGTTTCCAATGCTGTGCACGTGGATACAAATCCAGCACTGATGATCCTGAGGTGCTGGATTCACCAGCCCTGGGGGATTTAAAAGCTGTGTGGGACATGGATTAGTGAGAATTTAAACAGAGGTATTTTCTTGGTACCTAATCAAGGATCCAACTGTTAAAACGTTACAAATGCCAGAAATTATTTGGAATATTAATCAGATGATCATAGAATCATGGAATCCTAGGATGGTTGGGGTTGGAAGGGAAATTAAGGATTGTTTTGTTCCATCCCATTCCATGGGCAGGGACACCTTCCACTGGCCCAGGGTGCTCCAACCTGGCCTTGGACACTTCCAGGGATCCAGGGGCAGCCACAGCTTCTCTGCCCAACCTGTGCCAGGGCCTGCCCACCCTCCCAGCCAGCAATTCCTTCCCAATATTCCATCTACCCCCGCCTTCTGGTAGTGGGAAACCATTCCCCTTGTCCCATAATTCCAGCCCCTTGCACATGTATAAGATCATATCGTATCATAAACATTATAAATTATATATATAAAAGAAAAACTTTACATTTTTATATTAAATAATAGCAATTTCTAAGGAATCTTACAATTGATTCATGGGATTACAACTGTACCTGGAAATCTTCTTCCCTGGAGGGTGAACAGGGGATATTTGGAAGGATGTGTAAGGAGCCTGAAGGACAAACACAGTTTATCCTGTTTACTCCCCGGTAACCCTCTGTGCTCCCAGCCCCGGAGCCGAGCTGTCTGCTCCTCCTCGGCAACCAGAGGAGCTGTAAAATTGCATCAGCGCGGCGCTGAATTCCCTCAGCTGGGAGGGACAGGGATCGGGAGCGAGGAATGCGAGATGAGATCTGCCACAAACGCTCCCCGATAGTAACTGGGCAACACACCGAGGGCTCCCAAACTGCCAAACTCCCCTGAAACCCGGCCCTTTCCCCATCCCTGCTTGCAGCCAGGCTGCTAAAGGGTTGCTTTCCAAAGATTTTTCTGGTTTTTTCCCCCATTGGAATACGCAGATGTCTCGATAAGTTTTAAACGCGCTCTCCTCGCGTTTCTTCGTTTAATTCTTTTTTTCTTCAGATCTTGATTCTGAGTATCCAGTACTGAATGTGATAAATTGCTTCTCTGGGAGTGAAACCAGTGGGAGTTAAATAAACTCTTTTTACACTTTTTTTTTTTTTTTCCTGTTGATAATTTTTTTTTGGCATAATTTCAAGCTCATTAGCTGTCACTTGACTGATTCTCTTCTTAAAATAGCTCAGTGGAAACCGATCTTGTCTGGACTATTTTCATCCCGGAAATTTTCATCGCCCAGATGATTTACTTTCACCAGAAACATAATGGCTAAAATCCTGCCTGTTGAAGGATAATGAATGCTCTGCCAAACAGCAGCACTGGGAATACCAAGGAATGGGAATGCCTCGTTCCTGGCCATGAAGCTCCTCAGCTCACCTACCACGGTCCAGCCCCAAAATTGGATTCAGTTGGGCTCCTCACATGCTTGAAAATATATATATGTATATGCTTAAAATGCTTGTGGTGAGGGTGGGGAAGCCCTGGCACAGGTTGGGCAGAGAAGCTCTGGCTGCCCCTGGATCCCTGGGAGTGTCCAAGGCCAGGATGGAGCAACCTGGGCTAGTGGAAGGTGTCCCTGCCCGTGGCAGGGAGTGGAGCGGGATTGGCTTTAAGGTCCCTTCCAGCACAAACCATTCCATGTTTCCAAAGTAGTTTTAGACTGGTATTCAGTCCAGCTGGCAGCTGGAACAGGTTCATCAGAGGGATATCTGGACCCACAGCTGGAGGGGTAGAAAGGCTCTCATGGTCTTGTAGCTCATACAGGACCCTCCAGTGCTTCCCTGTTGCCTTCAGCCTCACACACAGACTCTTCCTCCTGCTTTTCCCTGTCTTCTATCTCTGCCCACCCCTGTCCTGCTTCCCAGAGCCTTCTGCCCTGGAGACACCCACAGCCTCCCACACTGGCACTTTAGGACAGGACAGGAACAGGGGGAGAACAGAGAGAGACAGAGAGGCCGAACCAGCAGAGGAGGAAAAGCATCAAAGAGAGAAACAAGAAAGAACAGAGCTCAGACCTCATGACCTTCAGGGAAAGGTCTGATGGGTGAGAGCTGTTCAACCCACAGACATCTTCTGACAGAGTGAAAGGTTCCCTGAAGGTTCACAAGGGACCATCTATTCAGCCTGTTCACAACAGAATCCCAGACTGGTTTGGCTTGGGAGGAACCTTAAAGATCTCATTCCATGGGCAGGGACACCTTCCACTAACCCAGGCTGCTCCAAGCCCTGTCCAACCTGGCCTTGGAGTGAACATCCCAATGCAGCAAAAACTACTCAAACTAAACAGGAGCAAAAAAATCCTGATAGAGAGGGCAGGGAAAATAGGAAGAGCTTTCCTTGCCCTCATCCATCTTCCAGTCCAGGTTAGAAGAAGCTGAGGGAGCAGAGTTGCCTCCTTACCCACCTCCCTGAGTCTTCTTGAGATCCCCAATACCAGCTGCACCTACTGGCAAGTTGACCCACAGGCATTCCCTGCAGTCAGACACCAGAACCCCTCTGGAACACCCTCTGCAAACAGCACCAGGAGGAACATCTGCTCCACCTCTCACTGCTTGGACAGCACAAGACTTTACAGGGATCAGCTGTCCCCGACCCTTCCCAGGGGCACAGGACGCTCCAAGTAGTGTTTGGGAGTTCTAACTTGTTTTCCCAACACATTAGTGAATAATTTATCTTGTTAATCTGAAAAGCTGGGAAGAGATGACTGCCTTTAAGATTAATAGCAGAAACTGGGGAGGAGGGGAACATGAAATGAAATTCCTCCAAGAGCAGGTTTTGCTAATGGAAGATGATTAATGACAAGGGTGATGTTATATTAATGGAGAAATTTATGAAAGCACTCATTCTAAAGACAAGAATTAATCCCATTCTCGTGGACTAGGAGTGGAGGGGCATTTTAAGAGAGGGAGAGGCTGTCCCACAACCAAAGATGTCACTGCTAATGTCACACTGACCTCACACTTGCAGACCAGCTGCATTAGTTGCATTTGCACACCCCAAATCCTTCCACCTGTCTGCTGGTGTCTGAACTGATTTATGGGTGAAGATTTTAATGAGTGGTGAAAAGATCAAGTTCCAAAAACCCTCTCATAACGATTTTTTTGCCAGTGAACTGTCAGCAAGAGGGTTTTTTTTCTTCCCTTTACATTATAAATCAAGGCTCTGACCAAACCACCTTTCTATAAAACCAGATCCTGTGCAAACCTGGCCTTGACTAAACACAAACAGCAGTTCCTGTGGCAAGGAATTCTTCCAGATGTTTGAGCCCCAAACCTGAATATGGAAGGGAATTTGTCACCCCTGTGGAAGGATATTTAATCACCAGACTCTTTCCCCTCACAGCACCTTGATTTGGAGCCCACTCTCTGTGCAAACCCTTGGAGATGCTTTTGTTCAGACGCAGAGAACTCCCCATCCCTGACCTTTCCCTGCAGGAAGGTCCTCTCCTCTTGGGACTCATCCTGAAAATTTGGCAATAGCCATGGCAGTGGGGCAGAACTGTGCCCTCTCCAAGGGTTGTTTGTCCAGATTTCAGTTCATTTTTAACAAGTAGTGGGGTGAAGAAGGAGAAGAGGGTTCCCCCTCTCGTTTTCTCAGCTTCAGTGAGACACCAAAGCTTCACCCTGGACTGAAACCAGAGCGTTGGTTTAGGGTCTCAGCTGCTCCCAGGGGTGTTATTTTACCCTCCAGCCCAGATAACCACGGTCTTTTCTGCTCCAACCCATACAAAAGCCACAGTTTCATTGTCCTGGCTGTGATTTGGGGAGCCTTGTCCTGGTCCTGCCCTCTCCAGCGACATTTCAACATTTCTCTTGACTTGGACTATTTCCTTCTATTTTTTTCTTTGTTCTAAGCACAGGCAGTGAGTGAATCTTTTACCAAATTTAGTTTGCTGCTAAACACTGAACCTGCTTTATTCCCAGTGGAATTCCAAATTCAGGGCTTAATTCTTCCCACAGTGGTTCATAATGTTCCACATTCAAGTCTCTCCTGAAATCCCAAGCCTTTATTTCTCTGGCTCCACCTTTTCCTGCAGCACTTTTACCACTGCCAATCTTTAACTCGCCATATAAACTCGCACTTGGCTTTTCTGCACCTCTGTAAATAGTTTTATGATATTTCTGAATGCACCTGCATCCATATTTTGCCTTTCCAAGTGGCCAAAATTCTCTACATGGGCTACTTGGTTGGCTGTAGTAGCCAGGTCTACCTAGGCTGGAGCCCAAATGCCCTTCTTTATAGATTTTAAACAATGCACATTCATGTTAAATACCAATTTTAAGTAATGAATAATGATTTTAAACATCGATTTTAGATGGTTAACATTGATTTTAAATCTAGATTTTAAATAATGAATACAGCAAACCATAAGAGTTTGCTTAAGAACAATGATGAGCTTTAAGGTCCTTCCAACCCAAACCATTCTGTGGTTTTATCCCCAGAAAGATGCAAAGGAAAAGCTGCAAATCTAAAAATCATTCTTTTCGTTGTGTTTTTTTTTCCTACAACACCAGCTCTAAAATGCTTCTGGAAAAACCTCCTTTAAGGCTGTGTAAGCTGAGTTTGGCCACCTCTCTCTGTCCCTGGTTTGAGGAAGAGCACCTTGTTTTGATGCTGTTTCCCCTCACTTGCTGAATTTTGGAAAACAGAGCTGGGTCCTTTCGTACCTTCAGGATATTCAGCCAGAATTCCAAACCCACGGCGTGGTACTCAGGTCTCCATCCAGAGTGGAATCATCACTTTTCAGCTTTGACATCCCAGAGAATCAGACCTCAAACGGGGAGGGGCTGGGGGGGAAAAAGCTGTTTGGAAGCACAAAGTGTTATCACCAATTTATGCAGCTTAGATCAGATCCCCCAAACCCAGCATTTTGGTCCCATATATTATCAGATATATTAGATATATTAGATATATTAGGTATATTACTGCATTTGATTTTCAGCATTCCCAGCACTTAGGAAATTGTTTAACAGATCTGCCTGGGGAATGAAAAATGCTATTTCCCCCCACCCCCCCAAATAAATATGGAGTAGATCACAGCCCCCATTTTCTCAAATGCAGCAGTGCAGCCTCTGCAATCACACATTTCCAATCCCTGAAGCCCAGCATGAATAACACCATTGTTGCCCCCATATCAGTGCCCAACGCTTGGGTTACACCACTTTTGGGATCACCCCTCCTAACAGGGAGCACAGTTGGGTTTTTAAAAGGCATCACAGCATAAAAACCATTCATTTTCCGCTGGAAAATGAATCCTGCATCGCTGGGGGTTAAAACCAGCACTAAAAATGTGATTTTTTTTTTTTTTCCTCAGCGAGCAGGTGAAACACCTTTTCCTCCTCAGCACTGCACTCCCACCATCCCCTTGCATTTACCACGTTGGGAGGGAACAATGGGAATACTGAGGGAATCCAGGGAGGGAACACAGAGCTATTGAGCTGCTCTGGGCCTATCGAGGGCTCCATCAATCCCCGTGTCCAGCACCACATTCTGCCTCTCTTAGATTTCAAGGGATAGGGGGGAAGAGTTGAGCAAATTTGATGTAATTACCGTGCATTTAAGAGCTCCAGAGGAGGCTGCATTTCACGTTCAGGGGCTTTGCTCATCACAAAGATTTGGGGTGGAAAAAACCCCCAAATCGGCATTTTTAAAATATTTGACTAATTCTAATTATTCTCCTGCAGTTCCACCACGTAATTCTGTATTTGGTCTCCTGTAAAATACATATTTATAGTGTCAGGGGGGTGCTGGGGATGTATCAGCAGGCACCAAGCCTGGTTTAATTAGCAATTAAATGCTCCTGTAATTTTAAGTTATCGATGTTAATAATATTAAAAATTTAAATCAATTATAATGTTAAAAGGTTAACAATAATAATAATGTTAAATAGGTTCATGAATAATGTTTAAAAGGTCAATAAATAGTGTTACAATTTTAATAATATATAATAAATACTATAAATATATATTTATAAATATATAAAAGTAATCTATAAATAAATAATGTTGAAAAGGTTAATAAATGGCAATGTAATTAAACCAGGGACTGTGTAACCCTGAAACGAGGCTTCTCATGGCATTATAAATTTAATTTCTGGGACCCTGAAGTACCAAAATGTCCTTTCCAAATTGGAGATATGAGGGGGTGGCCCAAGTTCTTCTCCCTTTTTAGTATCAAACAGGCTCCTCCTCAGGGCCAGATTTCAAAGTTGCTACTGTCTGTATTTTACAATAAAAAAAATCCTTCAAAATCTGTCCCAAAAATTATCAAAGCCAACTTTTCCAGGCTGGTCAATGGGTTCCCCTTTCCCTCAGGACCATCTCGGAGCTCCCACATCCCCCACGTTATAACCTTCAGTTATCAATTATAACCTTATAATATCTCCAATTTGGAAAGGACATTTGGGTACTTCAGGGTCCCAGAAATTAAATTTATAATGCCACGAGAAGCCTCGTTTCAGGGTTACACAAAACTGGCTGGGATGACAAATGTGCAGCTTATTGCAGTGCCTGATTTAATTACATTAACATTTATTACCACTTTTAACATATTTATATTTATTTTTATATATCTAGTTTACATTTCTATTTATTTCTATGTATTATTACTTTACAAGTAATTATATATGTATTATATATATTATATAATATATATAAGTATATATAAAAATACATGTATATAAATATATAATATATTATGTATCAATTATATATATTATATATTATATATTTATATACATATATTTATATACATATATTTATATATTTATATATACTTATAATATATATATTATGGTTCTGGAGGGCATCAGTGTCAGACAAGGCTGTATAAAATTGTATCTCTTAAATTATTGTATACAAAATTACCTCTGATACGTGTATGTCCTGAAATCTGGCTAAAGGGACAAAGAAACAACTAACAAAATCTCCCAAAAGTCAGTGGCACAAAGATAAACCATCTAAAATAAAACTTGCAGTTCAGAGGAACAAAAATCATTCCATTTTAATGCATTAATTTACCTGTGCAGGTCCTTCCTGCTAAGAACCAAAGCAAGCCACGAGAATAAACCAAAAATGGAATTTTTTTTTGCCTAGAAGGCAATTTTCCTGCCCAGCACTCACCAGCAGTTTATTTTCTGAAGTTTGGGTGCTGGTTTTTTTTGTCAGATGGATCTTTTCGCTTCACTCCGTGAGTGAGGAAGAAACCTGAGAGTTTTTAGCCTGAGGCCCCACGTAAATTCTTCCCTCTTTGATGGATCTTCGCCTCCAGTTTTTGGCCAGGAAAAAAAAGCAGAATAAACCCCACGTGTGCCATGATTCTTGTATGGCCTGTGACATAGGGGAAATGTAGGGAGCCCACAGAGCTGAAAAATCACACCCTAAAACACTTCTGGTGGCTTTCAAAGGGTCCTGCAAGGCTCATCACAAGGAAAAAAAAATATAAAATATAGATATAATCCATCAGTACATGAAAATGAGGTGCAAAAGTGAAGGCTCTGTGTGTCTTTGCCACTTCTGGAGCCTTGGTTGGTCCAACAGCAGCAGGTGGGGCGCGGGTGGGATGGTCTGGGATGAGGCAACAAGACAGCACAGACAGGTCAGATGAATGAGAGATACCCTGACTGGCATTCAGGCTCCATTTCAGCTCTTAAGGGAAGCTGCTTCTGCGAGGAAAGATTAATAACAGCTCTCCAAATCACCTCAGGCAGTTTGGGACTGCCTGGGAAAAGAGGCTGCTCTGAGCTGCTGAAAAGGCAGATGTTGTGGGGGAAGTGCTGGAGATGTGCTTCCAGCAGACTCAGGGCTGAGAACACAGGGGAAGAGTAACACTAAATTAATGTTAAATAAATAGTTATTATGTCAACAGGTTGGGCAGAGAAGCTGTGGCTGCCCCTGGATCCTTAGAAGTGTCCAAGGCCAGGTTGGACAGAGCTTGGAGCAACCTGGATTAGTGGAAGGTGTCCCTGCCCACGGCAGGGGGTTCAAATAAGGTGATCCTTCAGGTCCTTTCCAACCTTGGGATTCCATGATTTAAAGTAGCACCTGATGCCTTCTGTGAGATGAAAGGGAGCAAGTTCTTTATGGGCCTTGAGGCCAAACAGGTTTGCCCCCCCCCCAAATCCAGGGAGAGGGAAGCAGAAGCATAAGAGCACATTTGTACCTTTATTTTCTGTCTCTGATCAGTGACTGTTTCAACTAATCTAAATATACCACAACCTTTTCATCTCAATTATAAACCACCTGGAAAAATTAACTCAGTATATTGGGGTTTGAATCCATCAATCACTTTGATCCATCAGATCATTCTTTTATCTATACCCCTAAGATCCTTCTCCAAAGGTTTACTCCCCATCTCATTTTTTGGGTTAAAAATAAAACAACAAAGAACAAAAAAAATCAACCAACAAACCCCTGTAATTCAGTCACTTTTACCATCTCCAAAATCCCCTCCCCGTGCTGGATTCGTACCTGAGAGATTTCCAGGATTGAATGGCAGCCAGGGCTGGAGGTCAGGTCAGGGAGCTCTGAAATTCCTTGCCTTAGGACAGCAAATTCCACAGCAGTTGCAGGGAAGCTGGGGCATAATGACTGTTTTGGATGCCCTGATGACAGATGGAAAATAGTCCTGATACCTGTGCGGTGCCAAAGTCCTCGTGGAGGGCAGGATTTCCCCCTGGATAACTAATTTTCCGGAATCCAGGGGTCTCCAGAAGCATCTCCAAGCACCCTCAGCTCCTCTGAGTCAAACACACGCTGTCAGTGCCTCCACTGTCACAACTGGGACGTACAAACTCCCACCTCCCCACAAATCTTCTCTCCCTGGCCCAGCCAGAAAAGGTTTCAGGTTTCAAATCCAGCCCCCACCCTGCAGTTTACGGATGAATCGCCGCGGCAATTTCCGCAACCGCCACCGCGCTTCATCCTGCTGGAATGAGCACCTCCAGAAGTCAAGTTCCCTCTTGCTGCCACCGTGCTTTGCCTTTCCTCCCCCACATCAACTCTCAGATCTCTCTGGGATTGGCTTTTCCAGAGAGTGTGGCCACCCAGCACTCCCCAGGCTGTGCAGGGACAGCTCAGACGCCGCTGTCCCACCACCCTTCCTTGCTCGTCCTCTCCCAATTCTTGCAACTCTCCTAATCCTCCTATTTCTGCAGGATTTCCCCATTTCCCCACACTTAGTTCAGGTTATTTTTCAGTGAGGAAGGCAGTGAAACAAAGCTCCCCAGTGAAGGGCCTTACCAGCTCTCCTGATGATCCAGGAGATGATCAGGCTCAGAGCGTTAAGTTTGACATTTTATGATGCAAAATAAGAATCCCAGAATGGTTTGGGTGGGAAGGGAACTTGAAGATCATCCCATTCCACCCCTGCCATGGGCAGGCACACCTTCCACCAGCCCAGGGTGCTGCAACCTGGCCTTGGACACTTCCAGGGATCCAGGGGCAGCCACAGCTTCTCTGGCCAACCTGTGCCAGGGCCTGCTCACCCTCCCAGCCAGCAATTCCTTCCCAATATCCCATCTCTCCCTGCCCTCTGGCAGTGGGAAGCCATTCCCTGTGTCCTGTCCCTCCATGGAATACTGACCTCCCCAAACATCCCACTCCCCTCATCCAACTTTCACTCCCCACAACAACCTTTATGCTGATGAGCTTTAAGGTCCCTTCCAACACAAACCATTCTGGGATCGTTGCATGTGAAATTCAAAGGATATTTTAACCGGGAAATGTTTCAAATGAAACCTTCCAAATTTAACATTTCAGCTGCTGAAAGCCCTGAGACTCAGGGATGGACAGATGGGATTTAGAACCTTCAGTTTTTAGTAACTATTAACAGTCCATGTGAAGAAAAGGGGGATCACTGAGTGCCAAGAGCAGGTCTGGGATTACTTGGCGTGTTTTCTGTGTCTGAGTGGAACTCTTATTCATAGCTCAGGAACAGAAATAATTCACAAACAGAAAGGAATAAATTTGGAGTCAAATGTCACTCAGTCAAACCCCTCCTGGCACCGCTGATTTTTGACATTCAGGGCTGAAGCCACATTGGTTTTTAAGAGAAATATTTTAATTGGATTAGTCAAAACATCTTCTGAATTTCTGAGTTTTCTGGGCAGAAGGAGGTCACAGAGAGAGGGACAGTTCTCTCACTGATAAATGAAAACTATAATCAACTATTATCAGGTTGATTAATCAACAATTATCAGGTTGATTAATCAACAATTCATCAGGTTCTTTTTAATCTGTTTTCATTACTTTTCATCTAATTGCTTTTAATTTTACTAACTCTTCATATATGGACCTAAAGTAATGTTAAAATCCCCTTAAGTTCATAAGCATCAGATAATTCCATTTAGGTGAAATCCAGCTATTACAGCATAATAGATACACACATATGTATGTATATACATATATATATGTATAAAACACACATAAATGAGTTTTAAGGTCCCTTCCAACCCAAACCATCCTGGAATTCTCTGACATCCTCCAAAAGTTCACTTCCACAGAGATGACAACTATGGAAAACACCAAAGGAAACCCAAAATTAAGTTCAAGTAGCCCTTTGAAACTTGCCTGCAAATGCGTTCAGCCATGAAATTATAATCAAATTATAGCCCTCTAAAAGCAAATTAAAAAGCTTTCCTTTGAACAAGTGCTACTTGTAGATCTAAACAACTTTCCAAAAACAAACAATCCCCCCAAAAAAAAACCAAACAAAAAACCCCAAAACAAAAAAGACCCACAAAAAACACACAAAACCCTTCAAAACAATTTTCCAGACCCCCCCAAGAACAAACCACCCCAAGGACCACGAAACCAACTGCCAAAAAACCCCAAATAAACCCCGTGATGTTCTGTTCCGAACAAAGAGAAAAACCATCAATTCCAGGAATTCCTTCTCACTGACAACTCTCCTGGGCTGCTTTCCAGACTGGAGGAATGATGTCCCACTTCGGGGGGTGCTGCAGGGAAAACTCATTAATATCATGTTCCCCATCAGACATCTGTAAGGAATTTGATTTGCTGCCAGTAAGAGCCGATAACTGCACATGACAACTGCCCCTGGAGCTCCATTAACGCTCCCAGCACAGCCCTGAATCCACTCCAGGGAGGAATTTCCTATTTTTCGGAATCTGAGTGGACAAACCCTGCCCAGGAGCCAGAGGAGGCCATGGAGATGCTCCAGGGCTGGATCCCTCTGCTCTGGAGCCAGGCTGGGAGAGCTGGGGGGGTTCCCCTGGAGAAGAGAAGGATCCAGGGACACCTGAGAGCCCCTTGCAGGGCCTAAAGGGGCTCCAGGAGAGCTGGAGAGGGACTGGGGACAAGGCATGGAGGGACAGGACACAGGGAATGGCTTCCCACTGCCAGAGGGCAGGGAGAGATGGGAGATTGGGAAGGAATTCTTGTCTATGAGGCCCTGGCACAGGTTGGGCAGAGAAGCTGTGGCTGCCCCTGGATCCCTGGAAGTCTCCAAGGCCAGGTTGGACGTGGCTTGGAGTAACCTGGGCTGGTGGATCCATGAAGATCAAAAGAGTCAAAAAAAACACCCAATAAAAACCCCCAAACCCACCCATAAAGCTAAAAAAAGTCCATTTCTTCTTGCACAAATCTCTTCAAACCTTGAGTTTTCCCTCCTTCAAAAGCAACTCAACACAGAGCTGATGATGCTAAAAATAACCTTAACAAACCACCACAAAATAGAAATACTCTAAAATAATTGTGAATCCTATACATATTTATTCCTTTCCCAGCCTACATAAATGCCTTTGTGCTCTGAAATACTTATATTTTTAATTTATTCTTTTTCAACCTTCATCTTCTCTTGATGGGATTTGCTTTGATGATCCTTGTGGGGTCCCTTCCACCTCAGGATATTCTATGAGATACAACAGTAAATTTTCTTTCCACTTAAACACTACAAAACTACACTCCATTAGTGATTCCAGCAATCAAAGCTTGAGAAATGCAAACTAAATCAAGTTTTCTTGTCCTTTTTAATATCTCTGGGCACAGAGTGGCTCTACCAGGATAAATCACCCTTCAGAAAGGTACCTGTAAATATTCCCCAAAGCTGGGAAAAGCCAAAGCAGATGAAATTCCAAACTGTACTGAGGCCAAGAGAGAATTTAATTCAAACTAAGATTTTTTTTGCCAGGAGTTTTCCAAGCAATTTTTGTCACCACAAATGTTTTCCACCAGCGAATATTGGAATAATTTTTAATTGAAAGTGCCATCTCTGGAGAAGATATAAACCAGTAACAACAGCAGACAGGAAACATCACACAAACAACACTGAATAGTGGAGTATTTATCAGTATTTAAGCTTTTAAAAAGAAACCTCTCTACAGGCTGTTCAGTGCAATGTAAATAATAATAAAAAAATATCATATTACGCTTATATATATCATAAAAAAATGCACTTATCTTTCCTCAGCTGGAGTAATTGAGGGATTATTCATTATTCATGAATTATTTTCAGGTTCAAAGGGCATTTAAAGCTATGGCTGTGCATTGATGAGTGAGAGGAGCGACCATCTAAATGAGGAGGAGTCAGACAGTGAAACCATGCAAATAAACCACAGGAAACCCCAGAATATTGTCAGGAAAAGCAGAATATTGGCCCAAACCTTTCAAACAGGGGTGGCAAAGCTACACAAGGGTGATGCCCAGAGCTCTGGGGTACCCAACAGTGCTCACCTACAGAATCCACCAAGGACAATGATCCTTCTGGGAGAAACTCCTTGCACCTCAAGAGAGAGCAGAGACTTCTCTCTGTATTTATACCAAGTGCCCACTTATGATTTTCATGCCAACAAAGCTGCTCGGCCGCAGCTGCCATTCCCAAGTCATGGGATTCCAACATCACAAAGGTGAATATCCAGCTGAGAGGAGACTCAATTGCAAGAAAATCACCCCTCTGGGGCAGGGGGTCGGGAATTCTGGTCATTTTTAGCAATCCTCCATCATTTCCCACCGTTTCAAAAGCGGAGGGCGACACATTTTAAAGAAAAGCAAGATATAAATGATCATTTTGCATTACTGGCAGTAGAAATTACAGCCCTGATCAAAGCAGAAGAAGTCCCCTCATGTATGTTCTCTGTGAAAACCACGACTAAAGAGAAGCTTAAATACACCTGTTGACCAAGACAAGAAACTCTGTGTCCTTTATGAACAGTTAAAAAGCAGTTTCCACATCAGCACATCGTCCATCCGAAGTTCCTGCTCGTCTCAGCTGGGAGAGTGATTGTCCCAGTTCTCTCTGTCCAAAAAAAACACTGCCAAGCAAATGTGCATTTTCATCACAAACCAGTAAATGATGACTTGAGTTCACCCCCCTGCTCAGTCAAAGTGGGTTGTCCTGGGGTTTATCTGTAAATACCGGGGGCCACCTGAAGCATCTTGATTAAAACATCCGAGGACTTCGCGATGTGCACCGGCGTTTTCTGTCACTGAGAAGCGCCAGTGATCTCTCCTCGACGATCCTGACGGTTCTGATGGCCCAAGGGGGGTCTTTGGCGAGGGGGGCAGCGTCAGGACAGGGTGAGCACCACGAGGGACAGCAGCACTGCCACGCTGACCGTCCTCCTGCTGCCACCCGACGTCCTCCGGGCGTGCAGGACGGCGAACACGGCGTTGGTGGCGTTGGTGGGGATCTCCACGTTGCAGATCATGCCCTCACAGCAGGAAACACATTCCTGGAGAGGGGGGGGAAAAAAAGGTCATCACTGGACACAGGGGAGCTCAGCAGGGGCTTGCAGAGGGGAAGCAGAGGGGAAGCAGAGGGGCAGGTACTGATCCCTTTACTCTTGTGAGCGTTGACAGCACCCAGGGAATGGCTGGAGCTGTGCCAGGGCAGGCTCAGGGTGGATCTCAGGACAAGGTTCTTCCCCCAGAGGGTGGTTGGCACTGAACAGGCTCCCCAGGGCAGTGGGCACAGCCCCAAGGCTGCCAGAGCTCCAGGAGGGTTTGGACAATGCTCTGAGGGACAGGGAGGGATTGTTGGGGTGTCTGAGCAAGGCCAGGAGTGGACTGGATGATCCTGTTGGATCCTGGATGATCCCTTCCAACTCAGCATATCCTGTGATTCTATGAATGTTCCTTCCACTGGCTGCAAAGCTGAGCTGGACAGACCCATCACCTCCCCCTGGCAGCCTGGCCCAGGGCAGCAGAAGGAGCATTTATGCTACAAATCATCCCCAAATCAAACATACAAGCAATCAAATCTCTTCCAAATAGTGGGCACAGCCCTCCTGGAGCAACTCATCTCCTGGTGCTGACACCAGGCTGGGATGGGATGTCACTGTAAAAAACAGAGCTCCCCCTTCTAACACGTGAGCTAAAACCCTGCATTTGAACATTTCAGGTTTCAGCTTTTTAAACTAAAAAACTCTGGTTATAAAAACTGTTGTTCCCATTCATTTTTCTCCCTCAGCTTTTATATTCAGTGTTGCTCTGTGTGCTGAATTCCTACCTTGTTTTTCAGTTTCTTAGTGCCACACAGAACCACTGACACAGCTGACTTCCAAAAGGGTATCTGAAAACAATTTTCCCTACTTGACCCTCCTTACTAGAAAAGCCAAGAGAACAAATGAATAAAATGCCAATTTTTATCTAATCCAAAGGCAAAGAACTGTTCTAAGATAAAATCCCTGCCCATCACAGGGGGTTGGAACAAAAGGACTTTTAAGGTCCCTTCCAACCCAAAGCAGTCTGTGATTTTATGATTCCACGAAAACAGAAGGCAGATTGCAAAGTCATTTCATTCCCTCAGTCCATCAAAACCTGTTGGAATCCCTGGAAATCGATTCAGAAAACACATAGATGGTTTTTACATTTAACATGGACAGATCCTTTAATATTTAACATGGACAGATCCTTTCATATTAAATATGGACAGATCCTTTGGTATTTAATATAGACAGATCCTTTCATATTTAATATGGACAGATCCTTTCATATTTAACATGGACAGATCCTTTAATATTTAACATGGACAGATCCTTTCATATTTAATATGGACAGATCCTTTGTTATTTAATATGGACAGATCCTTTCATATTTTACTTGGACAGATCCTTTGGTATTTAATATGGACAGATCCTTTCATATTTAATGTGGACAGATCCTTTGGTATTTAATATGGACAGATCCTTTGGTATTTAACATGGACAGATCCTTTCGTATTTTACTTGGACAGATCCTTTGGTATTTTACTTGGACAGATCCTTTCATATTTAACATGGACAGATCCTTTCATATTTAACATGGACAGATCCTTTCATATTTTACTTGGACAGATCCTTTCATATTTAATATGGACAGATCCTTTCATATTTAATATGGACAGATCCTTTCATATTTAATATGGACAGATCCTTTCATATTTAACATGGACAGATCCTTTCATATTTTATGGACAGATCCTTTCATATTAAATATGGACAGATCCTTTCATATTAAATATGGACAGATCCTTTGGTATTTTACTTGGACAGATCCTTTGATATTTTACTTGGACAGATCCTTTCATATTTAACATGGACAGATCCTTTAATATTTAACATGGACAGACCCTTTCATATTTAATGGACAGATCCTTTCATATTAAATATGGACAGATCTGTTCATATTTAACATGGATGTTGTTTTTGGTGTCTGATGCTTCGTTTTTGGTGTCTGAAACCTTTCCCCTTACAAATAACATAATTAATCCTCACAGCTACCGAGGAATTAGTGGGTTATTAGCTATTAACATCAGGAAATAGTAGTTCGGTGGGCTATATTTGAATTATTAACAATAAACTTCCACCCGTCACCCAAGGAGGGGAGGAGGCAACATTGCTCGGAGCGGATCTTGGCACAGCCCGCTCGGCTCTGCAGGAAGAACAGGAGTGGGCAGCAGGAGCTCTCACCGTGTGCCCGCTGTCCCCGTGGCGGTGGCAGCCCACCCAGTGACACTCCTCCCCCGTGGCGCATTTCTTGGTGACCGACGTGCTCTTGCCGAGGTCGGTGAAGAGGTGGGCCGTCAGGCAGTACTGAGTACCTGCGAAATGAGAGTTGGGTTTTTTTTTAAAGAGGGTTTATTCGGTCCGTGTTCGAAAACTTCACGCGGTTGGAAGGAATTTTGCCAGGAAATGCGTTCTTTGGGCTGTACTGAGCTATTTTCAACTCCATCAAAACAGCGTTTAGCAATTAATTAGTGATGAAATCTGAAGATTAACTGACCCTTCAAACCTCCAGGGAGGCGGCTACCATTTCAATCACTTATTAGCACTATAATTTACACATTTATCTTCCTTTCTCTCCTCTTGTTGGCAGCTCATTCTTGCCTTGTTTCAGACCCGTTTCCTCTAATTTACTTCTCCCCCTTTCCCACCGTTACTGGGAAGGAAAGAGAGGAAACATATTTCCATTCTTTTCTATGGATCCATCGTCCCCTCATACAGGGATGATAGTGGCTATTCGGGTCCTGCTGCTCCCAAGGAAAACATGAAATCTTGGGATGGCATCCGAAGGGAATGGGATGAGGCTACAAAGACAATTTTTAAGATTTAAAAAAACATAAAAGAATCTTTAAGATTAACTCCTAGGAAGCCCATAACTATATATATATATATATATACACACACACATAGAAAGATATATATAATTAATATTATTGATATTATATATATTGTTATATTATTAAGATTTCAATTAGTATATTGAGTATGTGTTGTTATATGCTCTATATTACACAAAATGTTCTGTAGATACAGAGAGAGATATAAATAATCTTTTCACTGCTGCTCTGCGCTCTGAAACACTCAAAAAATCACCTCAGCAGGAATGAGATGATTCATGTCATCAATAGCAAGACTGAGGGCACCACAGCTGGCACGTTAATCCCATTAATCACACTTCTGCAAGGTGGTGAGTCACCTCTGAGTCTCACATTAGTCCAGACTTACTCACTTTCAGGACACCACCTATCTTCAGCCCATCTGTTACAGCTGTAATTGTCCTCTGCGTTCTCACAAGTGAAGCACTTGAAACTGTCTGGAAACGGAGTGGCTTTAAAAAGCATCAAAACACAGTCAGTTTGAGGAAAAAAAACCACAACAGAATGTTCAAAATATCACCTGTACACACGTATAAAAAGTCACATATTTACATATTCTCAACGGTGTTTCAACTGTTAGATAAATAAAACAAGTTTTACATTTTCAACGGGTTTGGCCAGGCCTGAACTTTTAAAACATGTCCTGGTGTTTACATTCTCTCACAAACCAAAATAATCAGTTAAGTGGGAAAAGCAGGAGAGAGAGAGAGGGAGAGAACAGTTTATTTACATCCTCGTGGAGGTTTGCACAGACACACCAACTCCATCTACATTCAAATGGCTTTGGGTTCCTTTGATGGGGAAAAAAAAAAAAAAAGACATCTTGAAAAGCAGCTTCAGAGCTTGATTTTCAACTCTGAAGGAGAAGTTGGATCCTTTTAACAAAGGGATCGAGAGGAATGGCTTAAAATCTTATTTACATTATTTAAATCAATTATTTTAAGGTGCACAGCTCCCTGGATATCTAATTTATCTGCCTGTCCTGACTGTTTTAATGATGCAGATAATGAAAATGAAGGGATAGAACCCTTCTGATGCCAGATAAGAGGCCAGAAAAATGATGCTATTAGTGACAACTGGCTTCACAGGTCCCACAAGGTTTTTAATTACCTTTGGACTGAATTAATTGCACACAGCACACCTATTCTTTCCCTTCACAAAACCCCCCAAACGAGATAAAAGACCAAAACCACCTGTCCTGTGTTATTTATGAGAAACCCACTGCATCATTTGCTCTGTGGGGAGACATTTCAGAGCCAGAAAAATAGAATAAAATGGGAAAGACCTTAAAATGTGAGCTCTTTCTGCAGCAGTGCCTGCAATTGTTTGATTTTTTTCAGTCAGCCTGTAAAATCTATTAGAAATAAAGTGCTGGGGGTTGGAAAGCTAAATTGTTATTTTAAACTTTTTCTCACGTTTGAGAAGGGGGGAAAACCCCTAAAAACCAAAAAGACTGAAAGAATATGGGGGGGAACTGTAATATTAAGTTAAACATTATATTATATTAAGCTAAAATATGAGGGGAAATCGCAGGTACACATAAATTAAAAAAAGAAAGAAGTCCCTACTTACGGTCCAGGGGAGGCCTCACGTTGTAAAAGTTGATGTTCTCAGCTGAAACCCGAATTCCTGGAAGGAGGAAGAGCAGGAGGAAGGACCCGGCCAGAGTGGGATGGAACAAGGACATGCTGAGGATTATTGCACATGGAAAGCCACAGTCAGGCCTGGCAAGGAGAGAACAGACATTATTTTGGGGAAACCCGAGGAACTGAGCGTGGAGAACGATAAATTTCCCATGGAGGACGGGGGAAGCCTCGGGAATTCAGCGGGGAGGTGAAAAACCAGCGAGTCTGAACTGCTGAGAGCAACACAAAGCTGAGCTGGGAGTGCCTTCTGCTGGCCAGAATCCTGAAACTTCCACAGGATTCAAGTTCACCTCATTCCTTTCCTCTGTTCGCCCTCCCAACCAATGCCAAGCTCGGGGATTCCTTGAGAGGTCTCCTAAAAATCAGCATGAAAACTATAAACACTTATATATATATATATATCCCACTTGAAACTGGAATATAATATTATTAAAGAAAGCAAAAAGCGGGGAAATGTCATTTTTAGCAGCAACAGCCTTGAGCCCAAACCAATTCCTCATCTGAGGCAGATCAATGCAAGACTGTTGGCTTCAGATAAGCTCCATCATCTAATTCTGAAGGCTCATCATGAGTGTAAATTAGATTGATTTGAAGTGCACCCCAAGGAAACGCTGAGGGAAAACCCTGGGATGGTACACAAGTGCAGTGGGAAGTTCAGAGGGAGGGGATAAAATGGCACAAAAATCCATTTATTTGGTCCCCCTCCCGGGTCCTGTGCTAAGGCTGATTTAGAGAGGAGGAGAATTAAGCACTGGCCATTTAGGTTGCCACAAATCCCCATCTGCAGTGGCACTGGGGCCTGGGTGGGATGTTAAAAAGCAGAATCAGCCTCACTCCACCCATGCAAATGCCCAGCAGGACAAACAGGCTGGAGTGGAGGCTCCAGCCAAACCAGAGGGGTCGCTTTGGGATGCCAAGGGCATCGGGATGCCAAGGGCATTCCCTGCAAGCCCTCCCAACACACCCTGCCCAACAAATGGAACGCCAGAAAGTTCCATTTTATGAACTGAGCATTTGCTTCTGATTTTTAATTGTGGATTTTTGCCATCCTACTGAAGATCTGCTTATTAAATCCTGGCTTTATGACTATATTTCAGCAGCTCCTGAGGAAGCCTCAGCTCACCTCTACTCCCAGTGCACCTCCACCACTGTTTTCTGTAGGATGGTCCAGATTTCTTCTGATTATAGCCCAGAACCTAAAGCATTAAGCAGAAGAACCTGTGGAAAACAAACCAGAAACGGATCATTTTAATTCTGTTTGGAAGAAACAAATTGGCTGGCACACTCTGTGTACTTATTTACATTGAGAATTAAATTAAATTAGGGTTTTATAACAAAACATCCAGAGAAGCACCTGAACTACAAGGTTTAGCTCCAGCTTTTTGAGGGCTGTGCTACTGCAGGAATAAAAACTCCTCCTCCCTGGGACATCCCAATGCCACAAAAGGCAAATAAAAGGCAAAAAGTGCTGGAATGAGGCTGCTCAGTCCTGCCATGAGAATTGAGTTGACTTCTCTTGCAAGGGAAAATCATTATCCAAGCCACAAATAATGGGGCAGGACCAAACCACTCCAGAGGAAATCTATATTTCCCACTCCACAGATATCCCAGGCTTCCCACACAAGCTATGCCCAAAATAGAAGCACTAATCAGCCCCTTAATTAGAGGTTCCTAACGAACCAGGAAGCAGGTCCCCTCAGCGTGGGGAGTTAAAAATGCAACCCCAGCACGCGGAGGTAGCAATTTTCAGAGCCACACATTCCTGATCCTAACGATCCATCAGGGATCCAGTTTTCCCGACTCCAGGAGGGGCACACGAACGCAACAGAGGCTGCTTGAGTGGTGTTGGCAACGACATGAGGAGAATCTTTTCGAGGCCAATGTCCTTCTTCGTGGGTTCCTTGTAAAACAATCAGGGCTTGGGCTGGAAGGGACATTAAAGCTCATCTTGTGCCGCTCCCTTCCACTTCCACACCCTCCACTAGACCAGGTTGCTCCAAGCCCTGTCCAACCTGGCCTTGGACACTTCAGCCCTCAAGTTATTTATAAATCAGCAGCCCAGTTTTAATCAAGTATCAGGAGTTGAATCAATCAAATTTCAGTGCACTTCAGGCAGCTCGACAGCACTGAATGATTTCAGTTTTCCTCTGCCTTTGGAATGGAATGACTCCAGTTGCAGAGCATTTGCAAAACTTATCCCTTAACTTAACCTGGATCTTCTGCAGTTCCTGCTGGGTTAAGGAAACTTTCCCTTTATGGGGAGACTGGGGTGTAACTGGATCTGAAGCACCTGGATGGCAAAGAAAAGGCACAGTTACCCTTGTGCCAGTTTTCTACAAATCCAGGCTCTCTCCTTCCCCCTCCTACCCCGAGTTCCTATCGCTTTCCCAGGACCAGCCGATGCCAAATGGAAAAACTGAGAGAACATAAACACAAAAAGCCACTCTTTGGTTGGTGTCAGGCACGGTAAATTGACCTCGGGATTGGATGCAGTCAAAGGTGTCCTTGTTTGCCAAGCAGGCCAATAAATAATGGATGTTGTTTGCCCTGGGCTTGGTTACACAGCTGCACCAGGAGCCCTCCTCAAATAAAATAGGAAAATATTGGCCCCAAAAAAATGGCTTTCATATCTCACCTGGAATCTTGAAAATGCTTGTTTTCTGCAGAGCCTCTTATCTCTGTTGTGCTTCCATATAATATTATCAGGCAGCGTGAGTAAATGTTTCATTAGGGCCAATTAGGAGCCCTCATTAATGAAGGGGGGGAAAAAAAACTGTCACAACATGGCAGATTAACTTATATAAACAAGAGGAAACACGGAGCTCCAGCTTTCCTGGGGAGGGGAGGGAGAACAACCCAAGAGGGAAGGGCTGCTAACAGAAAAAAAAACCAAAACCCTGAGAATAAAGAACATCTCCAGAAAAACAACCACAATGGCTGAACTAATCAACATCTTCCAGGAGGTTTTCAGGTTTATCTTCCAGAAAAGTAGGAAGCTCGATTCCTGCTTTTAATAAAATTCAATCCTTGTCTACATTGTTTTTCCTGGCAGCTCCTGCTGGAGGATTAGCAGATTGAACACGGAGATACGGAACGCAAATGAAAACTTCCTGCTGTCGTTCAGCGAGCAATTTTCAGGTGCTATTAGATAATTGCAAACTGCTCCTGGTTAAGCTTGTTAAATACCACTTGAGGACATGAGAGTTGGGGAATACACAGGCACAAAGGTATGCGTGTTCGGGGCTGGAAAAGTTAAACTCAGCTGCCTGACACCATCAGGTGTTCCCTGCAACAAAGCAGAGGGGCCAAAATGAAAATTGACTTTATCTTAAAGGGCAAAAAAAAAACCCCTAGCTCCTTGGCTCCCCATTTCTTAAGGAAAAACTGCAATTTTCACGTTTTCCTCTGGACATCTTTAAATTATATCGATAAGGCATCACCTGCCCCGCTCCAAAATGAAGAAATGGATGGGGAAAAAAAAAAAAGAAAAACCGCTTTGGGAAAGAGGCATTTAAAAAAATCTAAAAGTTTAAAAGAAAAAGGGAGTGAAAAGTAAATATTTTGAAGGATTAAAAAAACAAACAAACACCAAATTATTGCGGATCTGCAGATTAAAACCATTTTTTGTATAGGTTTTACCTTTTCTTACCCACCAAGTTGCAAGTCTCTATTTTTTGACTTTTTGCCCGTTATCACGAGCAGAGAATGACACAGGAAAAGATATTTTACACTACACTGACAGAATCACATTATTATGATGATGATGGTGATATTATTATCAAGTTATATCAACATTCTTTGAAAACACATTCCTTTATGCTCACCCACAGCACCCTCAGCAGTGCCTGGGATGAAATTCGGGGCTTAATTACAAGAAATGATGGAGCCCTTTATCTGAGATCTTGGAAAAGCAAAGCACACACAGGGCTGGGGATGACACCATCCTTTAGCTCCGGGGGTAACGCTGGCACCGGGAGGTGTGATGGGAATGATGAGGAGGTGTCTGACTACACAACCCATCCAACTGCTTGGATGCTGAAAGGAAAATCACGTCTGATTAACAAAATAATGTCTGATTAACACGATAAGCCTGAGAGGTACCACTGAAGCGAGGTATTTTGCAAGGAGAAAACATGTAATAAAAGCTGCATTACATCACGTTCCTCTTATAGCCCAAACTGACGTTCGTTTAAAATTCAGAATCCCTGGTCACCTGTAGAAAACAAATTTATCCCATCTCAAAATCCATTGCATTTCCAGCTAAATTTGAAGTTTTCCAACTAAATTTCCTATTTCTTCCAAGAACTGCCCTTTGGCAAAGCTATGGATGAGCAAAAGCTTTGCAACACTGGAGCGTGGAACAGCTTCTCTACCTCACATGCAACTGGTTTAAATCTCTCTCTCACCTGTGCCAGACTGGAAATAGGAATTTAATATTACTCTAGTTAAAAAAAAAAAAAGGGGATTACAGGAATAAGCAGTGGTTTTGCTTTTCTTGAGCACTTCTGTACAAACCAGTTTGGAAAATTAAATTTAAAGAATGTAGTGAATGGAGGAGAGAAAAATCTGACTCTCAGTATTTTTCTTCTACAATTTTAGCCTCAGACCACATTCAATAAAAGACTTCTTTAATCCTTCCAAGGTACTCATGTTCCTTATTATATTACACACAAGAAGTTCTTCAGGACCTCTTTAATAACATGAGAAAAGTGGACTAAACAACACTGCTCCAACAAATCAAGAGATCTCTGTGCATTTCCATCTACCAGCCGCTAATTATTTTTAAAAGGAAAATTAAAGGTCCTTCAGCCAGTTAAACTCCCCCTCAGAAAGTGAAATCCTGTTTTTAACACAGAAATCTGCCCCGTGTCCAGACAACATGAACCTACATCGTTTCCACTTGTCAAATAAATCATCTGTTCCCTCTCAAACTCCAGTATCGGGTGAAGATCCACATGGGAAAGAGTCAGTAGGAGAAAGGAGTGTTGGTGTGGAGACCTACTTCATATCCTAAATCCACCCCAAATCCACTGGAAGCTAAACTGGCCCCACAGGAGCAGACACATCAGAAGGAAAAAAAATCAGAATAATAGTAAAAAAAAAAATCAGTTCCCCTGCCCTTTCCTCTGCCTTTAGTTGGAACCTCTTCCCAAGTCACAGAAGGTTTGGTATCGTGTCTGTGCCGATGCAAACCCACTTTTTGAGCTGAGAGAAGAGGAAGAAAAGGTAAAACACCTCGATCTAGTTTTATTGTAAGAGTGCAAAGAAAATGTCCTCTACCAGGACACTCCACTGAACCCACAGGCACAACATCATCTACAACAACACAACACCACAGCGACTCTTCTGCCTTTATTTCCCCAGGAATAAAAAAATGGCCAAGGATCACAGAATCATGGGATGTTTTAGGATGCAAAGGCCTCTGATATCACCGAGTGCAGCACCCCAAGGCCTTTCTGCCCCCAGATGATGCCAGTTTAAGGCAATAATTGCACTATAATTGGGAAAAAAAGCCCACTCAGAGTCAGCCACGGGTTGACGCTGGCAGGGTTTGAGGTGTGGGATTTACAGCACTGGCTCCCGGCTGACACCATCTCTGCCTCCTGTTCACACCAGCGCTTTGGTCCTGGGCAATCCCTGGAATCCTGAGCAGTGTCAGCTCCTGGAATGCACCAGGAATGACCGGGAGAGCTTCTGGAAAGACACCAGCGATTGCTGCTGTTCCGTGTCCAGGGAACTGCTACAGCAAACTCCTGCTGCTGAATAAATGAGGTTGAAAATCAGGTGTGAAGAACGGGGTGTTTCAGTGCTTAAAACCAGCTCTTATCCAGAAGCACCTCAGCTCATTTCAGGTGGTTGGAAGCCCCATTTCTAAGAAATATAAGTATCTGAATGAAACTCCTTATTGAAAATATAAATTTAACAGCAGATCGTATGTATATATATATATATATTTATATGCATATGTATGTTTACATATAATTCTATTTTTATATACATATGTATTTATATGTAAATAAATTATATTCTATAAATAAATACATATAAATGTATTTATAAATAAATTTATAAATATATTAAATTATATTAATATATTAATTGCATATTATATATAAATATATAATAATTATATATTCTATATAAAATACATATAAATGTATTTATTACCTGTAATAGTCAACTTTTTTCAAGTTTCATTTGGTAATGTAATAAGAATT